GGAATCTACACAGGTCTGTGGCACTACTTTGTTACATTATCTGCTTTCTAACATGGTTTGTGATGGTTTTGGTAGATTAGCTGCCATGTGTGTTCTGGTTTCCTCTAAAAGTGCACGGATCTCAGTAAAGTGTTGCTGATATGCATGGAATAAATTTACATCAGAACCCCCTGAAAATTATAGAGAAGGAAGAAAGAAGGAAGAGGGGATAAAAAGTATGTTGCAGAGGTTTGAGGCTTGAAATATAAAGGAGTTGTTGCTGCACAACTCAGGTTTCAAGTAGCTGTGTCTAATTCATTCCAGTAGGTAAAATTGGAGTATGACACTGCTGAAGTGCTGTGTTCACAGAGGGATAAACATGGCAGTTTACCTGATTTTTTGAAGTTATGTTGTTTGTAACTTGACATATGAAGAAATCTGAGATGTCTGTTTAGATTTTAACACTCTTAATGTAACTAAAAATGTCCTAAAGGCTCAGCACTTACACCCACGGAGGTTTGCATAGCGCAGGCACGATACGGAACAGTTTCAAATTTCACTAGACAAAAAACACTCAAAAAAAAACCAAGACTAGCATGTGAACTTCTGTGTTAAAGAAACTGCCTGCACACTGAATACTGATGTTTATTCTAGCAGATTGATCTCTCTCACGCATAATATTTTCATATCTTCGTATCCACTAAATATGTTTCCATTTTATTCATTTTATACGTCTTTCTCTTCCTGTGACAGAATGGAGGATGGGTTGCCATGCCTGCCTTTTCAGTAAAACCAGATAACATTAAAGACATGTCCCTGCAAGGCAGGTTCAGTAAAAGCATGCCCCCAAAGCCAAACCGAATCTGTGTAAAAGTGACTGTGTGCAGCTTTTCACATTTTTTCTATCCTGGGTTTAAACTGTTCATATTTAAAAAAAAAAAAATGTATGCCAGTAGACATGCTTTACGTTGTTAATAGGCAGCTTGGATATTTGAGTAAGCAAGTTGCCTTGAAAACTGAGCTTAACTCACAGAAAAAACAGGTGCAAACATAAAAAATAAAAATCTGTGATGAATCCCCCCAAAACTCCACTTTATTTCGTTTTCTTATTTTCATTGTGATGCAGCTAAAAAAAATAAAGGAGAGATATATAATTTACATAGAGGAAAATATTGTGTGTGTTTAAATCAGGTATCATTTTTTTGCCACGGTCCTTAAGAGAGTGGTGCAGATCCACCTGATGTCCTGAGAACTGGCTTTTATAGTGAAATCGGGTTTGTAAGTTGGGTAGCATTGCAAGAATACTTAGCTCCTAAATGAGTAGGTTGTAAAACTTTGGAAGAGAGAAGAACCTACAACTTCATTTATGAAGTGTCATGTGATACTGAATCATCTTTAACACCAGCATTTTTTGAAGTTTGTGAGGTTTTTTATCTTTTTGGATCTGCATGGTGCCACAGAGATAAAGGCAGGGACAGTAGTTATTTCCTTCCTGCAAAGATGTTTATTCTATAAGGTAAAAGACCTTAAAAAAATGTTACTTTAGTATAAACCTATTCAAAATATTCAGATTTATTTTGCAGTATGCAAAATTTTGCAGTACGCAGCTTGCGTGGGTTGGAGGGGACCTTAAAGATCATCTTGTTCCAACTCCCCTGCCATGGACAGGGACACCTTCCACTATTCCAGGTTGCTCCCCAAGCCCCATCCAACCTGGCCTTGAACACTTCCAGGGATGGGGCAGCCACAGCTTCCCTGGGCAGCCTGTTCCAGTGCCTCACCACCCTCACAGGGAAGGAATACTTTATGACTCTACAATTATTGTTATGTTTTATATTAATATTTATCTCTAAAGTAATTGGAAGTTGACCAAATACATTTTTGTTTACTGAAGAACACCTTTCCCTCAGCCAAATATAGTGAAAGTGTTAAAAATGTATAAGAAAATCATTATGGAGTGAATTAGCATTTGAACTCTAAAATGTTTCCTTAGACATTATAATTGTGCAAATGTTACATCAATTATTGTGTGTATTGTATGCGTATTATTATGTATAAATGCTATTTGAGAAGTTGTCATTAGTGTTTTAACCACTTCAGTATGGGAATAGAATCAATTATGCTGCTTTAGCATTTCACTTTAGGAGAAAATTGTTGTCTTTACTCTTGGCTAAGTTATTCTTGAATTTAATAATTCAATAGTCAGTCTGATCCATTTTTCACCTAGGAAAAGGGAGCAGAAGCTTGTCTTTATTTTCCATGTATATTCAGTGTTGTACTCATGGGAATTGTATATCCAAAAATAAGACTATAAATAAGAAATCAGTAGTCTTTTCTGTCTTGCTGCTTTATGTGGGTTTGATATATGCTTCTGCAGCATTATTACTTACTCTGTTCAAATCAATGCCCTGAGCTTTCCTTTAGGTGATTGATTTCCTCCAGATTAGCCTACGAAGTACGTGATTTAATAAACACTGCTATTACCTGTTTGCTAAAACACAGATGTCTGCAGTATTACAGACAGAGATACTGTAAAATTTCCAAAAGGGCTTCAGACAGTCATAAGATTTTGATGGTACAACATTATTTGAATAGGAAAGAGAAAACAGCTTAGGTCTTACATAGTTGAAAGCAAACTAAAATCACTTGGAAGAAATAGAAATAAGACAAGAACTTACAAATATGAAACCAGACTCTGTAGGAGATAACGATGAAAGTAAAGATACTTATTAGGGTATTGTCCTCTTTAATGCCACTTTTCTGATTTAGAAAAGAATCATTTTTTCCATACTTCTGTGTTTTTAAACATTGCAGTAACAGATTGTAAAGTGTCAGTAGAAATGTGTAACTGTTGATGTCCCTCCCTAAAATATATCTGAATATGTATTTGCATTACCAAGTTTTTGCAGAAATGGGGTGTCAAGGAAGAATTTGAGTGGTTTGTGTGATGCAGTGCTATTTAGGGTTCAATGGCTTTGGGCTCCATGTAGAATACCTACATGGTATTTTATTAGGATGTTATTTCATAACATTGCTTATCCACAACAACTGACAGAGTGTGAATGTTCTGGGTAACTCTATCTTGAAAGAATTCCGTGCAGGACAAGGAGGGATTTTGTATGGCATTTGGACATTTAAAACAGATTTTTTACAGTTGCTCATGGCTGGGTTATATGGACCTGGTTTAGATACAGTTTGGTACAGGTTTCTGTTTGCCCTCACGGTTTTATTTTTTTGTATTTCTGTAATACCTCTTTGATATCTGGAAGACTAATGTTTTCTAATGCTTTCCAACCCAGACACTTTTAGGTATAATCACTGTTAGAAAATGTAATGACCTTCAAGCACTGTTGGCCCGTGCAGTTGGGAAGTTTGGAGAAAGGTTTCATAAGAGGTTAATGTGTAGTATTTTAACACAGATGTCCAAACACAGTATTTTTCATCTTTAAGTTCACTCCTAGTTCTTTGTTATTCCTGATAATGGCCTGACATAACATTATTCCTCCCTGGTTTTTTCTCACTGTGTATATGGTAGGGGTTTTTTTTCTTTATGCCTTTTTCAGTATTGTATTCTCTGAGGGTAAATCTCAATAGCTTCACAGTATGTCTTTGCTTGGATGGAGGCTGCAGTCTGATACACAGCATGTTCCTTCAGTCTCCATACCCGAACTAGTCTGTGGCCAGGTCATTTCTTTAATGCTTTCTGGGAAATATTGTGGGGTTCTATTAATCTTTCTCCAGGAAACTTGTATTTCTGATATTACCCTGCTTTCATCCGCTTTCCTGGGAGATGGTTTTCCTTTTCAATTGCTGTACTATTGTTTTTAATATTACTAAGGCTTGTTACTTTTCCTGCTGCTTTCTATTGTAGAATTAAAATGCTTCTTTTGACACAGAAACTATCATATTGCTTTTGAAGGATAGATATTATTCTTACTCCCCCAACACCTTGGGAAGTATTGTGCCATATGATTCTATTCAGTCCACATTTTTATCAACATGGTCACCATCACCTGCAGCCATCATTCCATTTAAAGCACAGCCTTACGGGTATTTTTTCCCTTTTTGCAATATCAAGATACGAAGAAGATGAATGAAAGTTTCTTGCATGTTTTTGTCAGTGTGTTTTTACAGCTCCCATGAACAGTGATGGACTTGGCAGCCTAGAGACTGAAATCCTCTGTTTAATCACAGGCTGGGTATAGTTCAGCAGAAAGATGTATTTCTATACACAGCCCCTGTAGCATGTCTAAGCCTCAAGCTGGAGAGTCAACCTTCTAATAAGTGGAAAAAAGCTCTCAGGCCAGTCAGTCCCTGGCCTCATCTGTGGAACTGTTGAAAAAGAAGCATTTATACCATTGAGCTTTGTGACAGGTGCTGACATCTAGTCTGGAGTGGACTGAGAGTTCTCTTTCATTCATTTGGGAATGCCTTTCTGTAATTTACTGTAACTCACTACAGTGTAGTGTTCTCTCCAGTTTGGAAGCTGTACATTTGTGTGCATTGAGTTGTCACATAACACTTCAAAAGGCAGTGGGTTTTCAGGTCAGCTTGCATTTAACCCTGGTCTTGATCTCCAAATCCTTAATGCCTGTGATCATTTATTTTATTTTAGTTGTGTAAACTCTGAAAATCCAATAGCTAAAACCAGAGAACTGGTTTTAAACCAGTAAAACAATAAACCTCATTCCTATGTTTAGAGTATTGAGACATTTTATTTGAAAACAAAGGAAAACTAAGGCCCTTCAGAGACTCCTGCAACATCCTGGGTCCACAGAAGACATATTGCACAGAATTCTTGTGTGTGGTCATAAATTGTAATCTCTGAACATTTTGTAATGCTGTGTTAGATGGGAAATGGTCCTGGTCACATTCCTATTCACAAAGATGTGTTAATGGGGATTTATTAATTTTTCTCTAAAAATCCAAGGTAATGCAAGTATGTGCTATGCCAAAAGAAGTGCTGGCTATTAAATATGATAGAAATAATTTGACTTGTTTGGGTTTTTTGTATTTTTCAGCTAACAGGACAAGTGACTTTGAAAATTGCCAATGAACCAGTTTTGCCGTTTAATGCCCTCGACATCGCATTAGAAGTTCAGAACAGTCTCAAAGGTAATTTTCTTTAGAGGAGTATTGCTCTCCATTAATTCAGGAGAAAAAAAGAATCATCTAATCCCTAATATGTATTGTCAATTTTCACTTCAATGATAGCCAGTGATTTTACTAGTTAAACTAGTTAAACATTGCGGGTTTTGTTACTAAATAAATCTATAAAATATTTATATTTCCTCTGATGTTACTTTGTCAATTAAGCAATAATTAGTATTAAAATGTCCTAATTACAGTCAACAATAACAAACTTTGTGACTGAACTTGATTTTAATTCCTTTCAAGGCTTTATTCAGTACAAGCGAGGGCTTCTAATCCCATTATCGTTTGGTTCCTTAATTTTCACAGTCATCTTCCTTACTTGTTTATTCCACTAACTCACCTTGTTGCAGAGCATGCTAACTTCTCTCTTTTTTCAGGTGTGACAAAGCAAGATAATTTACCAATACATGTTGTTGGAACTGTCTAAGCCCTGATACCCTGCAAGCTCCATATTTGACATCAGCATGTTTGGGACAATGGGTTGGGATTAGGGAGATGGACGAGAAAGTTCCTAGTCAGAAAGTAAAGAGGAGTCACTGGTAACTAGGAAATTGTGCAGAGGTAATTCTTGTAGACTCTGAGTTTGGCACTGTTTGCTAGATATAGGATGAATGGCTTGATATGAGACCACTGCATCGAGACTGGGGTGCCATTACAAATATTCCTGTGTTGCCTTCTTGATTAAAGAACAGGCATTCTGCAGTCTCTTTATCCTGTGTCGACAACAGAACCCAATCAAGCCAGTAGCCCTTGACCAGAGCTGTTTAAGGTAACCTGGTTGCAGGGGGCAGTTGTGCATTCCCTTTGCTTATGGGGGCTGCTCTTTGTTTGTTATTTTTCTTTTCCCCTCTCTACAGGTAGTAGAAAAATGTTAATATGTTATAGGGAACTAAACCCATATTATGTTACTGAGATATTCTCTGCTGGTGTCTAGACTACAAAAGAGTAAAATGCTGCCTTCTTATCAATTATGAAAAGAATATTCCTTAGCTCCAGTCCTGAAGTCTAAGGAGGGAGAGAAAGTCTAGTTTTTAATGCTGTCTAGTCTCACTCATCCATATAAACTTTCTCCTTCAGTATCATCTGTCTTCCTCCTTCCATGCAGTCCCTTTTCCCTCGCAGATTCCTCATATTCTAGTGTATTCAAATGAGATCCAACTCTCTTTCCTTTTCTAAATGACTATGCTGGTTGTGGAGAGCACATAAGAAGATTAGTCCTTGAAGAATAATAAATCTTTTGATAATTTAGCTACCAAATTCTAGCACATTCCTTGAATGTGTACAAAATGAGTTATTTTAGAAGCTGGTTTTCTGGTCAGAATTCACTGAACTTAAAGTGTGAAAAGTACATCCCTGACAAGAATCCACATGAAATTTAAAAGACTGCTCCAAAGCATTGTCTTGTTAGGACCTCACAGTGGGAAAATGTGAGATAGGTAAAACCATGTTGTTATTTCCTGGTCTCCAATTATGTCTCTGATACAGATTACCTGTAGTACCCTAAGACCTTTCAAAAATATTTTTATTTATATGTTTATGGAAATCTTAAGTTGGCCTGTTAAATAAAGATGTAAGTTCTACAAAATCACACTCAAACTATACATATACTGTAGCAGAATGTGAGATTGTATCTCAAACATAAAGACTTCTTGCAATCTTGAGGTGCTGCCCCTGCATTTCATTCACTCCCTACACTATAAAGCACCACTTTTCTGTAATACACAGTCATAGAAGTATGATACCTTTTCTTTAATCTTTGCCATCCATCATTGTCAAGACCTAGGAGTCAGTAGGCAAGTATTGGTCTGGAATCAGTGAGCATCTAAAAAGACAAGTAATTTTAGCTCTGTTGAGCCACATAAACATTGGTTTAGTTCAGCTTAAACACAGCGGGGAATGATCATCAAATGAAAAGTGTGGCTCAGCTGGTTTTCCTTCAACTGAACATGAGATGTCTGCTATTGTTCTTCCTTTTTTCTTTATTTTGAGTAACAGGAAATGTTGATTTAAGCTGACATTTTTCCTCTAACTTCAGTTAGATCATTTATCTCTACCACTTCAGGGGAGGGAAGATTATTTCCTAGGCTGTAGGGCCAGGAGGATAAATCTTCTCTCTGCTGTTCACTTTGGAGTTTTGTTTAATGATTTTTCTTATGACTTTCATGTCTTGTCTATCTTCAACTTGTGTCAAATAACAGTTTATTATCATTTTGGAAAACATTAATACAATAGTCTTTTTTCTGGTTACTTGAATGAGTTACTTCAATGTACTTTTTAACATGGCTCATGGGTTTCTTCATTCTTCAGAAGATTTTATGTTGTGTGAAATTTCCAGTTGAAAGTGGCATTGTCTTAGTAAACTGTTTCCTTCCCCAAATCAATGCAAACTGTAAATGTAGAAAAGGTGAAGGTAAATCTGCATGACATAGCTTTGCTCATTAGGCTTAATTTTGTGCCTCTGGGATTTGGTTCAGCCAGTCCCTTAAACACCCATTTTATTGCCCATTGGACTTTCTCACATGCTTAAAGTTAAATCATATGTATAAATACTTGAGTCAGTGTTTTGCAGTCTCCTGGATGCACTCAAAAAAGATTGTGTATACCTTTGTATTTGCTAATAGTGCATTTATTTATGTTTGTAAAGGATTTAACTCTGTAATGTGGTGGATGTATCTCTGTTATATTCTATGGGATATTACTCAGCACTTTACAAACTATTTCTTACATCCAGGATAGTCTGAATAGCAAGTTATGTCATCCACAGCATGTTCACATCTGGCTCATGGCCTGTACCTCAGAAAGATGGGAAAAAGGCTGTTAAGTGACATGTGTTATCTCCATTTGCACACACCAGAACTCTTGGAAACAAGCTACTGCTTTTGGGTTTATCTGAAAGGAAGGGTTGTGACTGGAGAGACATTTCATTTTGTGCATCTGCTGATGGTCTGATGTTTAACAGGAAACCTCATGGTCATAAATGATAGGAGATGGTTTCCAAGACTGAAATCCAGGTCCCCAGGGCTAGTCAGGCTGTTGTCTGTCTGATCACAGATGTGATTTTTTAGACAAATAGGGGACAGCTTCAAATATTCTCATTAACCACACCTTGCAGTTGTGTGGAACTTGTGCCTTCTGTGGGTTTAAAATTAAGACTCACTGCAAGTTGAATCAAGTACAAGATTTGATACTCTCTAAAATTTAGTGTATGTTGCAGGAAGTTTCAGGGATTGATGATGGAGGTGCTCAGGTGTCTCATTAGGATTAAAAACTTTTCTGTACCTTTGCACCTGACTGTCTCAGCAATAAGAAGTTCAATCACACAGTTTATAAAAATAAAGGCAACCAGTTTGATGCTGACCATGTCCCTTGCTTGAGTGTTGTAGAAGCTGATGTCATTTATTATTCCCAGTCACTTGGGCAACCTAGACTCCTGCAGACCTTCCAAAAATTGGTGTCTGTGCTGTAGCCCCGTGGCTGTGCAGCACTAGACAGGCAAGGTAAGATTCCCCAGCTGTGTCTGTCAGCACAGGCTGGTGAAGCTGGTCAGCAAATTGTAGCCATCTCTGATAGGCACTGGCTGAGACAGAGAGAGGCTTGTGGAGACAAATAGTGTGGATGAGATTTTCTGGTTTTCCCTGTATGGGAAGTGCAATAGCTGTGATTTAAAGCTCTTTGGCTGATGCAGTGTCAATTGTGTGTGGCTTTCTATCAATTAGGTCCTTTCTTCTCCCCAGAATGGATGTCGTACAGATGTTAGAGCAGCTGAAGTACTTGGGGTGACAATAGTAGGCAGTGCTAGCAGAAGTTTAAAAATAATCTGGTTTATGATAAGCCATTTCCAGGAAAGTCTGTGTGACTTTCCACAGCCTCGATTCAACCCATACATTTCAAAACATCAGGCTAAACTCTTTGTCCTTAGAAAAATCAATACAAAAACATATCTCTCTAATTTACTTGATGGCTGCATGCTCATTGCCTACAGCTATCTGCTAGTCTTCAGCTTGGCGTCATTTTGTCTGCTTGACTGTATTTCCCTGATCATTTCGGGTGCTTTTCAGAGTTAATTTCTCCACCCGTCTGTCATGTTCAGAAAGTTTCTCTTTTTACTGTTTCCACCCATTATTCTTGACTGCTACAGAGGGGAAAAAAGCAAAACTTGATTATCTGTATGTATGACAGAAATACCTCCTTTGCCATGAGACACTGACATCTTGTCTTCAGTATCCTTTCAAGGTTAGTATATATTAGTATCTTTCATCAGCCTTTAAAAAAAAATCATGGAAAAATGCATTTTCCATGGACAAAACATTTGATACTGAAGAGAAAGGATGAGCAGCTAATCTGTATCTGTAGGCCATGTAAGTTCAGCAACTCTGTACAAAGTCATGGATAGCTTAATAGAATCATGGAATAGTTTGTGTTGGAAAGGACCTTTTAAAGATCATCTAGTCCAACCCCCCTGCAATGAGCAGGGACATCTTGAGTGTTTCCATGGATGGGGAATCCACCACCTCTTCAGGAAACCTGTACTAGTGTTTCACAATCTCATTGAAAAAAATTTCTTCCTTACACCTAGTCTAAATCTAATCTTTATTTTAACACCTTTACCCCTTGTCCTATTACAACAACCCCTACTAAAAAAGTTTGTTCCCATCTTTCTTACAAAGCCCCCTTTAAGTATTGAAAGAGCACAATAAAGTGTCTCTGGAGCCTGCTCTTCCCCAGGCTGCTCCTGTATTGACATGCATGTAGTGATATGTCACAACATGCCTCTTTAGTGGTAGCCTCTTTGAAAAGAGTCTTCTTGTAGCAACACCAGATTAGTTTGCTTGGGCAATAGCAGTCATGGTAGAAAAATTGAAGCTGATGGCAACATATTCTTTGCACTGAGGATGTCTGTGGATTTGTGTTTCTGCCCCTTTAGGGTGCTTCCTACAAAGCTTTCCCATTCAGATTTTCTACTGCCTGGTCTGATCATCCTATTTTTGCACAGCATGAAAAATCTGCCTAGTGAATACAGCAGCACACCATAGCTGATCCTGAATTTGCAAGCTAATCAAAACCTGAAGCAATTTCCCTTCTCTCTTACATGCAAACACATGTTCACATGCATGGTGAGCAAGCATAACTTAAGCATAACTGCTGATTTGTCTGTACTCACTCTCCTGTAGGTACTTGTAGGCAAGTACATTCATAACAGAGGGCACAAGCACAATTTAAAAATGTTAACTCTCTAGCGGTGCTTTTCATAAGAGCAGTCAGTTACATGGGGAAAGGCTGTTGTATTCAATGTCTGTAAAAATAAATATCTGTTTGGTGTAACCTGTTTCTGAGTAGAATCCAGTTACATTTAGCAAGTGTAATGAGATTCAACAATGTAATTCTCTGATCAAGAGTACATATGCTCTTGAGTCACTTTCTTGTACTTGCGATTTTATTTTTATAGCAACTAAACAGCTAGCTTAGATGATTCATCATGAATCATACTGGAGACAAAAGGACAAAGAATACAAAATATAATAACGTGGCATTGTTTTCTCTTGAGTGAAGTGATACTTGTGCTTGATTTTCTCTGTAAAAGCATAACAAGATGTTTAAGCCACCTTTAGTTAATACATCCTTCTCTTGTAGGATCATTTGCCCTTCTAACTCCCAGCTTCTCAACTTGAAACAAGTATAAATCACAGCTTCCCTTGGCAGTGAAGTTCAGTGTATTGTGATGCCCATTCTGTCCTTAGTTTGCTGGGATAACGCTGACCATAGACACTTGCAGGTTTTGTACTGAAGTATTAAAGAGGGACCTGGGCGTGTGTTTTCTGAGAGCTGGTTTAGAGTGTGTGGTAAACAGTGCTTCTTACTTATGAGTGTAAACAAAAATGTAGTTGGTTTAGGTGCCAAATGCTGTGGAGAATGAGTGGGAGCATGTACAGGATTTTTATGTTTGAAAGGGTGGTCTAGTTGGCTTCATTTCCAAATATGGAATGATGGATTTTCCCTTTATCTCACCTTCCCTATTGAAAAGGCAAAGCTGACATTTGCAATTGTTTAAAAATTATAAATGTTTTCTGTTACTTGGAATACAAAGTGCTTTGCTGAAACCAAAGGATTCTTTCTAACAGGGTGAATTTAAGTATTTCCATATGGACAGAAGTCCCGGGGTAAGGTATGCACAGTGCCTACATTACATACCTGGGAATAGCAAGTTCTTCAGCTGCACAGGATGTTTGCCAGAGATTTGAAAATTAAGGATAATGGTATTTTGCAAAATATCGCAAGTGTACCAAGTTTATATACTTGGAGAATATTTTTCTCATGCATCAACCTAACTTGATCAGAATTTAAATTACTCCAGACTCAATCAGAAAGATACCAGTCCCATCCATCAAGGTACCAGAGTGCCTGTTATCCATTCTAATTAGGGAAAGGTGGCTTGGTCAAGTGCCATTAAGAAAAGAACCTTGTCTCAAACCAGGGCAGACATAAACCATCTTCTCTCACTCCTGTTCTCACAGGGAGCTCCTGTTCATTGTTGAAATTTGTCTTGATAGCTCAGAAAATCTGGCAGTTTCTCTCACGCCAGCATCTGTCTCTCCCTGTATTTTGGATCATTTCATGTTTTGCTGGATTGGAATGTGTTAGCTGAATGACAGGAGTACATGGGGATCCATGAACTCCTTTTCATTTACTGGAATTTATCCAGTAGCAAATCTCTTTTTCCATCTGAGAGGGACAGTATATTATATTCAGGCATTTCCTTGATTTCTTCATTATACCTGTTTGCTTTTCCATTCCTATTATGTGCTCACCTTTCAGACTCCATCCATAAATAATTTGAGAAATGGGTTGATGTTTCTCCTGATTTTGACAAAGGTAGAGTTAATTTTCTTCCTAGTAGCTGGTACAGTGCTGTGTTTTGGGTTTAGTATGAGATTAAGGTTGATAACTCATGGATGTTTTAATTGTTCCTTAGCAGTGCTTACCCTGAGGATGTTCCACTTTCCGTGCTCTGCCATTAAGGAGGTTTACAGGAAGCTGGGAGGGAACATGGCCAGGACAGCTGACCCAAACTGTCCAAAGAGATATTCCATACCATAGAACATCATGCCCAATTTCTAAATTGTAGGGAGTTGACCAGGGGGGCTGATTGCTCCTGTGGGCCCTGCTGAACATGCTCAGCAGGTGATGAGCAGTTGTACTGTGCATCACTTACCTGTCTTGAGTTTTATTCCTCTCTCTCTTTCTCCCTTTTCAATGCTGTATTATTATTGTTGTTGTTGTGTTTGGTTGGTTGGTTGTTTTTAAACTGCCCTAATCTCAACCCATGCATTTTACCTTTCTGGTTTTTAAATTATTCTCCCGATTCCATCAGGGAAGCGGGAGGGTGTGAGTAAGCAGCTTCATGGCACTTACTGATTTTAAACCATATCAGTGTTCTCAAATTACTATTTTTGATTTCTTCATGTATCTATTAGACAGGGAAGTTTAACATTCATTTAGCTCGTGTCTTGAACCACTTTCTTGTCTTAATCATCTCAGTCACTAAGATAATGAACTCACTGACATTTTTACATTCAGCTTCTAAAGCTGCATGATTTATGTTGATGAAAATATCATTTGAAAGATTTAAGGATAGTTGCCTTTCTTGTCAATAGGCGAAGTGAATTTTGGCCTTAAGATAATTTCTGCGTCCTGGAAATGTTTATGGTGACTGATATTACTTTTGACTTTATATCAGGTTCAGACTCTGCTTTTTCCCTCCATGTGCTTGTAAAAATGAAAGCAGTTTATGCACACACTGGGAAAGGAGGCCATGCTCTCCACCTGCACTGCAGGTGGGAATAGACTACACATTCACAATGTTCCAGTTCACATTTCACATTCCTCTATCTGGACTATGACCTGGGAAATATTGAGATCAAGGTGTGCTCTGAAGGGCTGCGAGCTTTTATTCTTTTGGTGTCTGTGTAGGATTGCTAACAAAGCAATAGTTAACACTCCATATTTAAAAAGTTTTGAAAATACTGACTGGATTGGAATATACATTTGGATATCAATTAAACTTTGCTCATTGGCATATAATTTAAGTGATTAAGAGGAACAATTTCAATCCCCTCTACAACTGTTGTTAACCTCTAGGATTCTAAAACATTCAATCAAATTCAATTAAACTGCATATTACAATTTTCTATACAGCAGTCATTATGGAATGACTTTCATGGAAGGCTTTCAAACTGTTACAGCAGTAACATCAAATGGCATTGAGTAAATGCTGTCTCGGAAGGAAATGATATAGTTCCTGATTTATAACCGTTACTTCCTGCAGGCCTGTTTTTCCGATGCTAGACTTCAGTCTGTACCCCAAAATCATTCCTCACAGCTTATTAGATCTTAAAACATCAGAGCCCAAATTGATCTTTGAAAAAAGGATCAGAGGTTATACAGAATAATCTATGGCTTTTCTTGATCCATCACAAACCCCTCAAGGGAAAAGAGGCTCAGGTTTTAATTGGACTATTCATTTTGGCTTATAAGCAAGAATAATAAGTGGTGTTCTCTGAATCACTGGCAACTGTCTTGCTCTTGCTCTTCCTAGGTGATGAAGTAGGCGTTCCTCAGTTGCTTGCAGTGGCCTCACGTCTGAGGGACACGGCCGAGCTGTTCCAGTCGGACGAGATGCGCCCGGCCAACGACCCCAAGGAGCGAGCTCCTGTCAGAGTCAGGATGCTCAATGATGTGCTACAAAGCTTGGAGAAAAGCTTCCTGGTTCATCGAGCTCCTCCAGGACTTTACAGGTGGGGTGTCCCATGCGTTCTTTACTTGAGCTAAAATGGTTTTCAGTGTTGCTTGGTTTGCAAAACTGTCATAGTTTAAAAAAAAAACCCAAACCTCAGTGAGTATCCGAGATTAAAGCTATTTTTTCCTATCACATCCTCTCTGCAGAAAACATTAATTCATTACAATACAAGAGGTCATTAGAATGCAGCACTGTAGCATTTCTGTCATGACATCTTTGCTAACAAGATGTACTGTGTGATGGCAGCCCAGGCAGCATGACAGATACGTGTGTTAGACGCTACAGTAAGCTTCCAGAAGAAAATATTTTGAAGTCTAATGCTGCTTGACAAGCTCCACCTATATTTTATTTAAAACTTTTTACAGTTCATTGAAGATCTAGAATTATACAAGATACTCTGTAGCATTATTTAACATATTTAATTATATAGCAGCCTTCTTGGATGCATTTCAACCAGTCAAAGGCAGTACCATGCAGTGAATGAGGAGGCCTTAGTCAGTCGCTATTCATAATGGCTTTTCTGTGGTTGGAGTTAATCTCTGATACAGGTTCAGCTGCACTACCCAGGTTGATTTTAAGATATCATAGTCATTCCATCTTTTACTGTCTAAGAAGAAAGACATCAGTTCTGTATCTCTCACCATCGATTCCTCTACAAAGAAAAAAAAAAAAAAAAGAACTTACAGTGATCAGTAGCTTAAAAAAAGTTGAAAAACAAGAATTGACCAAGCATGCCCTGAGCAATGCCTGGTACTCTGGCTCCTCAGGAACAGACATGATGTGTGTCCGTGTGCTTCAGTACAAACTGTCTGAGCGCTGCAGCCCATCAGTGTGGAGTTTCATGGCTTGACCCCAAGGGCATGTTCTGAGTGCCCTGGGCTACACAGGAGGCAGTGTGGGCTGTCTGACTTCACCAGGCCTGCTGGGATCATTTTGAAGGACTCTGCAGCTGAAGATACCCAAAGGCTCATCCACGCTGCTCGTTAGGGGGCATTCCCAGGTAAAACTGTCCCTAAAGCCATATTCAGGTTTTACTTTAGGGAAAACTGGTTTGCGTGCTCAAAAAATAGAGCTTGGAAGGCAACACAGATATACAGGAGACAGACCAGAGTCAGGACATAAAAGTGAATGAGGTATCTGTGTTATTTTGGCATATAAATGCACTTGCAACCAGAACTAACTGAAGTAACAGAACAGTTCTTTGTTTCAGTTGATGGGAAAAATTATCAAAAATCTCAGTGCAAGTGATGTGTCAAGTAGACATAAAACAGACACAGGGTAGAAGTAGACTTGGGAAGGAAAGCAAAAAGTACAGCAACAGGAGGAAGAGATTCTTCCAAGCATTAGGAATGGCATAAAACAAGCGCAGTCATCTTTTAACAGAAGCAAAGGGAAAAAATAAGAAAGGTAGTTGTGGGGAACTCAGCAATGTCAGTGAATTAAAAAAAAAACCTACAGCTATAATAAAGAAAATATAGTAATTACATTTGGGGAGGGGCTAATTTACTTCCTTCCTGCTGTGACTGGATTTATAACATAAAGAAATAAAACTAAATGTCATTAAATAAAGTCTCATATTCCAGCTTTAGCACTGCTGTCTGTCTTGTCTGAACTGGTATGGTGTTGCAAAGGAGCCATAAAACTGCTTACTGTAATGTAATGTGTCTGTGTTGCATTGCAAGGGCACATAGTTGGATCTGGCCCAGTTCTTTACTTGTAAAAATAAATGATGCCAAAACTTAGGATTCCAATAAGAGGGGTTTTGAGGTCTTCTAATATTTCAATTCTTGCACTGTTTGCAGTATTAGGTTTGTTATTTATCAAAATGTAGTTGCTAGATATGCAGGTATAATGTGACTTAAATTTATCACCTGCTCTTCCCAGTACTTCGGTGCAGAGCAGAAATACTTTCCCAGTTGGCAGTGTGGAAGTGAAAATTTTGTATTTGTTCCCCTCCTGATTTAATTACATTTGATGCAAGATTTAACAGTAGACAATAAGGTTGCTTCAAAGTTTGGGAGAAAACATTGACTTTGACCTGACTCTGAATAATTTTACCAAATATTATCTGGAATATATAACAGTAAAGGACACCTTGTATATCATCATTTAGATACTCATTTAAAAAGAGTACACTCTTTATACTGTGCCAAGGTGTGTAATTGTTACCTTTAATGGAAAATCTACACAGATAAAAAAGTCAAGGACAATGTTAGGTTTCTGATTTCCTTTCTTACCATTAAAAATCTGCAGTACGTTTTCTTAATTAAAGGGGGAAAAAAAATCTAAACATATGTCTTTATTTGGATTATCTTTCACTTTTTAGGGACCAAAGGTCTTTCTATTAATTGATGGAGTTTTATGAATATATTTTGTGTTCTGAAGCTATAATTGTATTGCAGGAACATCAGAAGTACTTGAAAAACCTGATATACTTTTTTTTCTTTTGCTTGTATTACTTTAAGCTTATTCTTTTTGTAATTTGGTAAAGAAAACAAACAAAAAAATGAGTCTCACAGCCAGGACCTTGTATGCCATGTTTCATCCCAGTCAGAAGATTGATAGGCAAGTTATAAACCCCTGAAATAGTAGTTTATAATGGAAATGCTGGCAGCCCTTTAACTATAGCAGCACAAGCAGTACAGCAATAAATACTGTGCTTCATCTGTAAACAGAAATTTAGGATGCAGTTTGCAGCCTTGACCTTCAGGCTCCAACTGTGTTTAGATCATTAAGATTCCATAAATACTGTAATTTACAGCCTTCTGAAGGAAGAATTTGTGTGCACAGTAAAGGACGTATTCTTCACGAAAAAATGATTGCTTCCTGTATACCCATTTGGACTCATATTCTCAACCTCAATCAAAGTACTTGACAAATTTGCTGAAGTTTTAGGCATCATTTTTAGGCTTGTGTTCGTCCTAATTCACAGCTCTCTGGATCTATACTGTGTTTTCTGTCCTAGAAATTGAATTAAAAAGAAAGGTAGATTTTTTTCTTTATTGCAGGAGATAGGTTGCAATGTTACTTGTGCTTCTCCACTACAAGGGAACTGATATATCTTTTCTGTATCTTTTTTTTTTTTGTATGGTTTGCACACACGTTACCATAGCTATAGTCTCTTACTGTATATATGTACTTAAAAAAATAAATGTCTCATTCCAGTCAATGTCATAGGGCAGTATATGGGCATAATTTCTGCATTATTCATCTATAACGAGCAGTAAAATTAATCAAATTACTTTTTTTTATAATTAGATCAGGATGTCTGACTAAACTGAATCATGATTGACACTGGCAGGTTGTTCAATACAGTGTCAGTAAACACAGTCGTTTTGATGCTTATCCTTCTTACCTGAACTTCATGACATTGGACTGAAAATTCGACAGTAGCACACTTTCCCCATGATACTCTATTTCCAACTGAGCTGGAAATATACAAGTACAGCTTTCATCAGGGTATTTTAGTCTTATCCAGAAATTTAGGCGGAATGAAAAATAGTGGGTTGAAAAATATTATCCTGCTCTGGGAAAGTTACCCTGGGACTTGATTTGGGGTTAGGACAAAATCGCTGAGTTTTATTGTACCTGAAGAGCTTCTTTGATTCCCAGTGATAGCCCTGGGTAGATGTTCTATTTCCAAAATAAGTGTGTAGTAACAGAATAGGATAGCTATTGATGTTCTTCATTTATCTGTCTTTGTTTCTCATAACATAGCCATAATATTGATAATTTTGTGGGTTTATAATTTTTCATTATTTTAATGGAAAAAAATCACTAGAAATTGATTTATTTAGTCTCTTACCTCTAGCCATTTCTTGCTTTCCCCTCTTGCAATATATACTAATGTGAAACATTTCTGTATATTTTCTGATTATCATATTTTGCTACTAGTAGTAATAACCACAGATTACACAGCAGTGGCATATAAAACGTTTAGGCACTGTACACAGACAGGGGAAAAAATATCTCAAGCATTTTGTCTGCTCAGTGAGGTGGTCAGCCTCAACAGAGACAAAAAAAGATTCCATAAATACTGATCATGTCTACTGTCATGCTTCTGCATACTTTTCCCTCTACAAAAATGCCTACCAAAACCCTGACACCAGCAATATCATGGACAGCAAGACATCATGTATCTTCCTGGTGTTTATAAATGCTGAGTTCAAATCTTATGTTTACCTAGACTGAGTAAGAGTGTTCCCCCTGTTCCTTGTATATTTTATTGTATTTCTTCCATTTGCTGATCCCTACAGCTTCTGACAACCTGTCAGCCTAATGTACCTGTCAAGTCTGTGTGTGCATTCCTTAGGTACTTACATGGAGAGCTTCTTGTCTCTGTGTTGAAATACATAGCACTTCAATGAATAATAATATTGCAGAGAAATGAGATAATGAAGAAAACTTCATGAAGTATCAGGCACGGGACACTCAGTAAGACAGATGTCCTGTCTTACTGAAGGTGTTCTGTTTCTTCAGGTCCATGTCCAATTTTCGTAGCAGTAAGTATGCAGGATTCCCTAGAATACCCTGGGATGCTCCCACCAAACTTTCCAAATCTAAAAGAGTCACTAAAATCAGGGTTTGTGTCCTTTGTCTTTAAAATCAAAGCCAAAAATAGGTGCACAAGGGCTCAGGTTGTCATTTCTGCTCCAGTTAGGTGGGTTTTAGTCCTAAAGGAGCATTGCCTAAGGATCAGCTATGTCCTCACTGACAGTTCTTTTAACAATTTTATAAAAGAATCAAAGTCAGCTTATGTAAAATCTACCTTTTAATAGTTTTATCTTAGTGTGCCAAGTTTATCCTGTCCATTAAGACTCTGTGCATCTGCCACCACTATTTATGGAATTGTTGCAAGGGTGATTGTGCTTTGTCTAATAGATGTAATTGAGTGAATTGAGTAATAAGTAGGTGAAAAGTAAGGATTTGGAAAGCAAGCTGTTTTCAACAAAGACCTCCAGCAGTTTTTATTGCTCATTTGTACTAATTTGACTTCTT